GAAAATTCTTCTTCTACCAGCCCTTCATCACCTTAAAAGAAATTGAGTTTATACATCTCATATTACTGATTTACTGGTAGTCTCGAAACTCTAATTGCATACGAAAAATATGTAACGTAGTCGATTTTTGTAGCAAATATGCGTTTGCTTTATCGGCAATCACACAAAAATAATGTGATATTGCAAATAAATGGCCCTTTTTATAATTCACATCTGCCCTTTGACCCAAGCTCGAAATTGCAGTCCACTCCAGCCGGGATGAGAGCAACTTTTAGTAAAGCAAGTTTATATGAAATTTAATTTAAACGACAATTTTACTCATATCGTTGTGGGAAAATTCTATTTATATTCCTTCATCACCTTAAACGAAATTGGGTTAATACATCTCATATTACTGATATACTGGTAGTCTCGAAACTCTAAATACATACGAAAAATATGTAACGTAGTCGATTTTTGTAGCAAAGATGCGTTTGCTTTATCGGCAATCACACAAAAATAATGTGATATGGCAAAATGACTGGCCTTTCTTGAACTTCACATTTGCCCGTGTGACCCAAGGTCGAAATTGCAGTCCACTCCAGCCTGGAGGAGAACAACTTTTGGGAAACAAGTCTATATGAAATTCAATGGAAACGTCACCTCTACTCATAGCATTGTGAGAAAATTCTACTACCAGTTCTTCATCACCTTACTCGAAATAGGGTCAATAAATGGCATAATCTAACGCTAGTTGCTATGACGTGATGTGACAAAGTCTCTGCGATACTCACGACTCTGTATCACATTTTGTTGAGCGTGTTGACGGGAACTAGATGTGGTCAAAATCATATTCCTGCCAGGCTAAGGTAGGCTTTTGCGAAGCAAGGTATGTTGAGATCTACTCACCTCTTAAATAAGCCCAACTATTGGTACTTAAATCAATTTAAGCGACCTTATTCACGTATTTAAACCATCTTGAATTATTAACTCCTTATTCTTAAGCTCTAATTATCCCCAAATCATCATCTCTCTCTTTCCTTTCCTCTCTCAATTCGATAGCCCTGTCCGGCAAATACATACTCACATCAATTGCTAATTGCTCAGAGGACAAATGACTTGAGTCAAAGCATTCGTGATACGCCTGCCTCTCTCTTGCCCTCAGCGACCTTCTCAATCCTGGATTCTTCTTCTTCTTCATCTTCTTCTTCTTCTTCTTCTCCTCCTTCTTCTCCTTCTTCCTCTTCCACCCTCGCAACAACCCCCGTGACCCCCAATGGCACGACAACTGACAGAAGTAGCCTCATATCTACTCCAGAGCCTTCGTTCACAGTGACCCCTACTCTTGAGAACTCGCTTCCAAACATCAACTCGATCGGTACAGTTCCAATTACCATGTCCCATTCCGAAATGCATGGTTTCATCAAAGACAGTCATCTCGAGTTCGGTATGAAGTTTTCAACCACCACACCACAAAGTGTAATTTCTGCCAGCTTGAGTTCCCAAGTCACGCCAAAAGTGATGATCCGCGAGGCGAACTTCACTCAGCCCTGGGGTCCTGCTGAAGAGGGCATGCTTGCCTCACTCCCCTCAGGGGCCCGTGAAATCCTCACCAATTGGGTAGGTCAGTATCTTCCTCCTCGACATCATCATTCGCGTGGGATCGCTCGACTGTGCCTACCTTGTCATTCAGAATGCCGAGTGGACGGTGGAACTTATCAATTGACCCGAATGACCAAAAATGAGAATATTGCACATGCCCAGACAGTAAGAAACAATAAAGCAATACAGGAAAAAGGCAGCAATAGAAATGTTGAAGACGAATTGAAGAAAAAGGACCAACTGAAGGGTGAAATGCTACAGCTGCAAGCCAAATGCTTCGGTCCTTCACCAAATCAGTGCCTCATATGCAAGCATGCTCGGTATAAAGACAACTGTTTGTCTGCTTGTCCTCTCGGTAAGCGGCTCAGTCGACCTCTCACAAGCCTCACCAAAAGTTATCTTTTACTTTTTTGTCAAATGTCAACCCAACTTCAATATCAACGCCATTTCATGGGTCATTCCATTCACCTCGACCCTAGTGAAACTGAATTCTTAAATCTGATATACTTTGCTCCGCTGTGTCATCTTCTCTAAAGATGATAGGATACAAATTGCACAATATAGGCACCGACAAATTGAGGAAAAAAATTGTTTTTTTCCATACTGTAGCGAGAGTCAGAATCACACCTCACTCCCCCTTTCAGCATGAGAATTTAATAGAAGTGGTATGAAAACCAAGATGGTGTGGCCTTTTGTGTGGTCAAAGTCTCCTTTCGTTCTATAAAGATTGTTTGACCTTGTTTGCGCAACTTGATCACATTGGTAGGAAGACTTAGAGGAACGCACCTAGTCCTGAATCCATTGTAAGAACTCTGAAAAGGATGATGCATACAATGGACTCCAGACTAGGTGTGTTCCTCTAAATCTCCCTACCAATATGACCAATTTGCGAAAACAAGGCCGAACAACCTTTAATATAAGTGGGTTGACCTCGCTGTCGCAACTTGGTCTTGTTGTCAGGGCGACTTAGTAGAAGGCACCTAGTCCGAAATCATCGTGACCTCGTTGTCGCAACTTGGTCTTGTTGTCAGGACGACTTAGTAGAACGCATCTAGTCCGAAGTCGTCTAGAGTCGTTGTCGCAACTTGGTCTTGTTGTCAGGGCGACTAGTGGGTTGACCTCGTTGTAGCAACTTGGTCTTGTTTTCAGGGAGACCATGTAGAACGCACCTAGTCCGACGTCGTCTGCTAGAAGTGGGTTGACCTCGTTGTCGCAACTTGGTCTTGTGTTAAGGGAGACTATGTAGAACGCACCGAGTCCGAAGTCGTCTGCCGAGTAGTTGTCATGATTCCCAGCATCAGACAGTGGACTTGGTACATTCTCAAACGTTTCGCCGGCATCGTACTTTGAGAATGTACCAAGTCTACTGTCTGAGGCTGGGAATCATGACAACAACGATGGCAGACGATTTCGGAG